GAATGAACTGCCTGCGTTGCCCGACTCTGGGCGCAGCCCCTTAAATAAATTTACTCAAGATTGTAAATCGAGGCCGGGACATAAAGCCTCATGTGGCTCCGCCGATCCACTTCTACTGCAGCCTTAAGGCGGGCATGTTGTCGATACATGATACATGATTGCCATCATTACTCACGATGACGGGCGCTACCAACTGAGCGAGCTGCAATCGCTGCCCAGAATGACATAACTTGCCGGCATGCGTGTAGCCTGTGCAGTGAGACTTGCAAACTGCTGTCAGTTTGCATCACCCTGACTGGCCTCGCAGAGCCTTCCAGTAGAGAAAGACCTTTTGTTCGGCTGTGGAGGCAGTCCTGCGTAAGCAGTTTCTTTTCGCCGCAGGTGAAACGACGAGCTGCTGTCTTTCCTTTCTGCATTTTGCTCGGGGCCGGACTCGCTTCAGCTGCTGTCTGGCATGGTCAATCTTTGCTTGCACACCTCCGGAGCACTCCCGTGGACGCAGCAAGCATCAAACCGATTTGGCAGTGAAGTCTAAGATGTACGTCACACAGGCAGGCCTTCCATCAGCTTGTGCTTTTCCAGCAGGGCAACTTAGCAGAACAGCTCGCAGGATCTGAAGCAGGCTGTACAGCGATGCAGCACGATGCACAGGGGTCACGCACAAGTATGACTGAGCCGAGCCACCTTCAACGTGCGCGGCATTGTCAAAGCAGGCCAAGTGCCAGCTTCTCAGCAACCTTGCAGCATCAGACCGGCGGGGATCAGCAGAGACGTACGGGCGGAGTTCACATCTGTGCAAGCTGCAAAGTCGCATCTGATTGTAGAATGCTTGCAATTTGACTCAGCCTGTTTTCGATCAATTCAGCATCAACTCAGAAGATTCTGCCGGCGTACTGCTCCTGCACAGTACAGGGTAGTAGGAAGTTAGAACTAGGAACGATCTCACACCGACCTCCTTGCAAGGGGCTTCCAGACCGCTTGTCTCGCACGGACAAGCAGTGCTACATTCTGACTTCTGCCGCGGAACAGCTTGCAAATGCCAAGATTGCTAAGGCCTCGAAGACATTGGCAAGGAAGCGAGCAGATGACTTGAGCATACGCTCCTTCAAGCTAAGCGGAGACATGACAACTTCCGGAATCTCTCCGTACATACCCTGCAGTGAACCCATGGTGTCCTGAGTTGGGAAGTCCACCCGGACAATTCCGAAGCGCTTTGCATAACCTGCACCACGAAAAAGCTCGGCACAGTTTTATTTGCTTCAACTGCCACTTGTCCTTAGGGAAGCTGCCAGCCTTCAGCCCATTCAAAATTGTCCAGGAAAGACCAGGCAAAGTAACCACGCACCTTTCAAGCACATCCGGCCAGTGAGACACAATGAGTAAAGGCTGGCAAGTCTGGCAGAGGCACGTCTGCCCCGCGGGAGATGGCTGCATGCACGGCGCTCAAGTGAGCCCTGCGGGGGCACATCTCGGAGATTTCTCGTAAAGGGAGCTCGCAGAACCGCCTGAAGAAGCGAACGCGCTCTGGATCATCGAAGGTCATGTCAGCCTGGTGCCTGGCAGGCAGCTGTCAGCCTGAAAGCCCCAAAACAATCCGGGCTCGGACGGGAAACCAATCAAAAGAGTAGATGATCATCAGCTGACCATCAGGGACCAGATAAAAAATGAGCAACTGAAACATCAGCGGAAAGTCGATCACCAGGGCCAAGACAATCAGAATAGCGAATTTGCAGGAAAAACCACAACACAAGGAAGGCGAGAAGATAGAAGGAAGGGGAAGGAAAAGCTAGCAAGAAAGAAAGCAAGAAAGAGGGAAAGACGGAAAGGAGGCGGAAGAGTTACTGGAATGTCGAGAAGTCGGAGCAAGAAAGAACGGTGGGATAAGGAGAGCAATACGTTCACACAGAGCCGACAACAAGAAAGACAGCAAGGAACGACACGAGACAGAAAAAAAAAAACAGAAAAGCACAGCCTTGCACATTAAGTTGCATGAGACACCGCTGAAGGGTTTAGGGATCCAGACTGCCCCAGACCGATCAAACCGCTTCGCCTTGTCAAACAGGACAGCAGGACTTCCAGAATGCTACACACACACACACAAACAAAACAAACAAACAAACAAACGGGTCACACCGAGGGAGGGCTTTTTAGAAAGGTAAATACCAGTGCAGCCATATTTCGAGGCATGTGGAAGCTGGTAGCTTCGCTTGAAGAGACGAGCGGAAGCAGCGCAGGATTCCAACGACTGTCGGCAAGTCGGCAGCACGCAAGACATGACTTGGCACCATGAGGCGAACGGGAGCACCTGTTTATCACCCGCGTCGACGAACACATCGTTTGGTGTGGCAGGACGCTCACGAGCCCCCGTGTAGGCGGTCTAAAGCTGGGAGAAAGAGACACGTGACCGCGACTTGGGAAGTGAAGAGGTTAAGCAAACAGTGGAAGAGATGACTGCGCTTTCTAACACAAACCGCCGTACTACAAACATCTACAAACAAGATCACATCACAAAGCCAATAATTCCGAAGCATTTTAAAACGATTGCACTGCGAGGCATGTATAGGGTGATGCCCAAGCGGATGGTTGTTCAGAACTTGCTTTTCCAGGTCAGGTTCTGTTGCCTGTTCTACTGTACCGGCTATGGATCTCGAACCTCGAGTTGTTGGTGAATGTTCTTTTCACGAATCAATCGGCTCAGTTGCCATCGTACCATAACTGGGTCACATACCATACTGACCATCATACCATGTCCTCGCTTACCAGTTTCCGAGAGCGCTGTGCCCCACTGCTGTCGACAACACAGCCTCCCGACGTCACCAGCCCACGCAACCGGGGTCAGAGCATCTGACCTGCTCAGAGATCGCGTCGGACATCAGTGGGAGATTGGGACATATTCGGCCTGCAATCCAGGTCGGCCTTGGCTCACAAGCACAAAGGACAACTCTCAGCGGACCCGAGGACAGGGCAGAGGAACGGTCGAAACGCAAATAAGCGACGGATTCTTCACTTTCACACGCACACCCGTTCTCTGTGATGATAATGCCGCCGAGCGGACTGTATCGCTCCTGCAACGGATCAGCGCAACGGCTGTGTTTTGCATGCTTTGCAACGCCCCGCAGAAGGGCTGCTCGGCTCCTGGATAAACAGCAAGATCTCACGCAAGGACCATGGTACGATCGGCCACCCCATGTCAGATCTCTCCCAATCTGGATCTGTGTGCCACCACTCAACTCCTCGGCTTGTTCAGAAAAGGCTCAGGCTTCGCATCAGATTGCAGGTGCGGCTGAGCAAGTTGCCAATGTCGTTCCAGTAGCCAGAGCCCTGATCGCAGGTATTCGTGGCTGAAACCAAGGACAAGTCGAAGCCCAACTTTAGACTGGATATCCAGCGGAATCTATCTTGATCGCTGAATTCCTGTGACTCTCTTGTTGTTTCGGGTCACGACACTGGCGCTCTGATGAGCTATCCATTCGAGGTCAGTCACAGGGGGGAGGGATCAGAAGCCAATGACCTGAATCTGAGCCAATGATGATCAGTTTTTGCTTCCAAGGAAGTGCACGTGGTTCGGTGTGGCGCAACTCGAAACTGCAACTTCAAATTATCTCAAGCTTGACACAAGCATGCACAAAATCGCTGAACCTATTGACAACTGCGGCGCATCAGACCTGAGGCGAAAGCCCTGCATTCGGCACCATGCTTGAACAAAACTTAAGCTCGCGTCATGGGCACCTCGAGGGGCTGCTGTGCAACTTTCGCGAAATTGGCACTGTAGCTGTTCCTGGGAGTAACAACAATTTGCTGGCAAAAAAATGTGCAAAAAAAAAGTTCAGGCACCCTGTAAGGCACATGGCACATATCCAGTGAAGGTTCAGACCGAAGAAATCACTGGAACCTTTGAGAAGTGCTGACTCATCCGGTGTGAAAGTGGGAAGCCTGACAGGATCAGCTCCACAGACGAAATCGCAGTATCAGGCCACTTCTTGTGTATCTTGCCTGTCGCCACAGGTTTCCTTCATGCACTCCGGGTAGTCCTCATGCAGAGTGCTGATAAAACGATTCTTTGACCCCGTCCTATGGCACTGTAAAGTACCACATGATCCAGCGTCCCCATGAAACACCGGCTGCGCAAACCAGCCGAGGGAAAAATCCATCGCTCGGCGAGCAGCTCGCCTGTCCTTTGCAACATGACCAGCATGACCAGCTTGATATATTATACTATATTATACTATAATATAGTATTGTATAGTATAGTATAGTCTAGTATCATATAATATAATTATATTTCTTGGTCCTCATAGGTGCTCTCCATGGGCTGGCGCCAGTCTGCATTCAACGAGATACCAATCTGCGCCAGAGGCACGAACCCACGAAGGCCAATCAGCAAAAACGGCCTGGCCCTCCTGGTCCGCAAATTCCTGAAGGGCACCGTTTTTTTTGGCGGCTTCAGATCTGAGCCACATTTCAGGATGGTCGCAGGCCACTTTTTGCAAGTTTACTTATTCAAGCGTGTTCTGTTGGGACCCTAGTCCCGTGCATGTCACATTGAAGCAGCTTGTTTGATTAAGTACGGACATGGTGGAGTCGTGGAGTATAGTGAAGTGAGCTAATGGGTCGGAGCTGGTGTAAGCATTCCCGGAATGTGGCACTGCCGTCAGCCTCTCTGTCAGCTGCTACGGAGAGTCACTTCAACCGTTCGCTGATCAATCTACTTGTAAAGATCATAGCATCATGGCGGAAAGACAGACTTCATGGCTCATTCACAGCAGCAGCCGCAGCAGTTGAGCCATAACAAAAAGAAGAGTCCTCGCGAAAAACTCGAACGGCTTCGGCATGCGCCAGCAGCATGTTGTGGCCTTGCACGCAGCTTCATTCCGACCATGCCGCTTGAATGCTGCTGAATGGGGAAGGCTTACGCATGCAAAACGAACAACTGTCTACTCAGGGGTAGCATGGGTAGCTGCATGCTCCGCGAAACCCTTCTGATACCTGTAGCAGAGTTGCCAGACGTTCATCTGCGTGCTGCTAGCTATGACAGGCAAAGAAGACTAGTTAAACTCGATGTCGAAGCAGTCGATAGAACAAGCACGACCGTCTGAACACGCTCAGCCGATTGACTGTAGCGCAATAAGGCCTGCGATATATGGGGCACATTCACCGGCGTCAGTATAACCAGGCGCATGATCGCCCGTATTGTATCCCAAGACCTCTGGAAGGTGGTCAGCACCACAATCCGCACCGAAAACTGTCACGTAAACAAAAATGCTGAGGTGGGATCTGCACTGCACCAAGGCCTCACCACATCGGCCGAGCAAGACCCAGCCCTGACAACATCTGACAACGCTGCCGGCTGAGCTCTGCGCTCATTCAGTGTGATCCAGTTCTTCACGCGATCACCAAAATGCTTGAAACACGTGCGGGCATATGTTGAAAAAGCCGATGTTATAGGCTCCTGTCACCAGATGCTGGAGGCTGGTCTGCAGGTAATCACCGCTGCGGTACTCTGGCAACATCTACTGGTAAGAGCGCTAGAATAACTTGAGAAGACGGCCCACGAAAACTACGAGAAGGATGCACAGACACGATTTGATCTTGCTGCATTGCTGACATGGTATTGCTAAAGGACGTGATGAGGACCCGAACACGTTTCTTCACTCCTAATGTGGCCTACTAAAGGTGAACTGGCAAACGACAACTTCCCGCATCCCAGTTGGTCCTCCTTGCGTCTTTGCTGTTCCCTGCCCCTTTCACAGTTTACACGATGAACCAGCATCTGAAGATACCCACCGGCAGTTTGCAACGTGTCAGGGAAGGATTTTGTAACAGGCTAAGTGTCCAAAGCTGCTGTCTGAAGCCAGTACAGAGCTGCAGTTTAAAAGCCTCACAAAGCTACCACACCGCCCAGATAGCCCCTTCCACAATGTAGTGCTCGCTGCTGCCTATAAGGACCGACTCATATACCGGGGTCGCAGACAAGGTATGCTATTCCGCTGTTCCCACATTGGCACGACGACGTGACCAGACCACACTTCCCGGATCTTCCTAACACACTGCCCCGCAAACGAGGATTGGAAGTTTATTTTGACAAAGCGAGCGATGCCGAAGCTTTGTGAGATGGAGCCAAACCGAGCGCAAACCAAGCTGCATCGCGAAAAATCTTCTGCACCGCACAATGCCAAAACAACACTGCGAACCTTCTGCCAGAATCTTTGTTTCGGAAAGAGGCGGAATCGACCGAGAGCCATGAAATCACGGAAGGCAGCTTTGTGTAGTTTACGAGAGTTGTCGTTTACCAAGAGGCAACCAGGTGAAACCACGCAAGTCCGAAAACGGTGGGGGGCAAGGGGGGCCTCCCTCGTCGAGGGCCCCTACATTTCCCCTTTTGAAGGTCTCTTGCGATTTTGCGAGCATCTTGACAGTGTTTTCGCGTGGTGTTGTTGCAATGGCTGTGCTGTCCGCATATGTCTGCTCGACCTAGCAGGATCGTCTTAAGCAACATCGCCGTAACATCGCCCGTGAAGTTGAAACTTTCGGGAAACATGAGAGACAAACTCGGAAAACGTGGGCGAACATTTGCAAAACATGAGGAGTGATGCAAGGAAGAAAAAGCGACGTCTCAGCTTCGGACTGTTCTCCTGCTGTTTCCTGAGACACCAACAAAGCAGCGTAACTAGCTGCTGTTTCCATATATTATTCTACAACAAAATTTAGGTGACAAACTTTGACTGTTGAGCGGCAAACCGCGGACCCTTAAAGAACATCGTTGATGGGAATTTCCAAACCCTGAAAAAAACAACATACTGGTTGGCAAACACTACAACTTATCCTTACATTATGAAATTGTGTTGGGTGGCAAACCTGAATTTTGAAGAAGGGATTCCAAACCCAAAACAAGAAGATATTTGGTACAAACCTTGAACTGCCTCAAACCCTCAACAAAAGAAAGGTTTGTTGGCAAACCCACAACACTAAAACAATAATATTTGTTCTGGACGCACTCGTCTCCAAAAATCTGGGCCTTGACCTTTGATCCTCTCTGCAAGGATGGTTTCAAGCGCGAACCCAAGATACTTGATCACACAGCCCTCCAGACGTGCTACTTACCCCAGGTGAACAACTTGAAATCACACCGACTTGCGTGGGTGAAGCTCCATGCCGAAAGGGTACGCAATCCAAAAACCGCGTCCACTCAGAAGCGGGCGGAACACGATTATCCAAAAGGCAACGATCGTCAAGATATACCCGGATCAACAGCCGTGCGCTGCATGTAGCCAGCGCTAATTTCATCCTGAGGCAGCCTGCACTGCGGCTCCATTCGCCACAGCTCCGCTCCATCCAACAACCACGTGGGGCTCGTCCTTCAATTCAACATACTGCCCAAGCTGAAGAAACCAACTTGGCAGCATAAAGATGAGCTCGGAGGGTGGAGTTTGTTTGACGACATGCTCATCTATCTTCCGGCGCCCCGACGGGCCATCCTCCGTGAATCGCGTAGGAGAGCGAGGCTGCCAACGATAGGAAGAGTCGTAATCACGGCAAAGTGCAGATACACCGCGACAGCGAACGTTGATGTGACCAAGAGCGAGAAGTCGCGCAGGTCGTTTTCTGCACACATCATTTTCCCACCGTCATTTTCCCACCAAGAGCCTTGCCCTCATTACGGGACTGATTTCCAGGACACAAAATCACGGAGACCCCATTATTTGCCCCGGAGATGAAACTCTTTCACTTGTCTCTTGGCTTTGGCTTTTGCCTCGGGCGCATTGGACTCGAAAGAAATTGTAGAAAGAAACCTTACCAATATCACCAAGAAGCGCCTGAGCGACAGACATCTCCTTGCCAAGCCAAACGCAAACTGCTGGAAGGCTTTTTCCATTCCGCGCAAGTCCTGAATGTCCCTCTCCTTCCGCGTCTCAAGCACGACGTCGAGCTTGGCAGCCAAGTTGCTGAGCAGATCCTTGATCTCCAAAAAGCATCATTGGATTAGTTTAGCCGCGCGGCTTGCGTGCCACCGGTGCCACCCTGCGCAGATCGACATGAAAAGGAACATCGCCGCACTGAGTGAACAGTTGCCCGAGGTCGCTGCCAACATCGAAGAAATCGGAGAGTTGATCCTCTGAAGTCTTCGACGCTGCTGGGTAAACCAGCGCTACACTTGTGGTGACACCTATCCATATAAGAAGCCAACGCAAGGGTTTACCGAGATGAACTAAATGCAATTCAATTGCGAATGGAAATGTGAATAAAAATGTGAATGAAAAAGCAAACATGTCGTGTGCACCAGGCCAGCGGTTCGCATTGAACTTGGTCCAAAGAATTTGCCATCGGCCTTCTTCAGCGGCAGCTTGCGTGGCAATGGCAGAAGCGCTTTGCGACGGCTTTGGCGGAGGCGGGATTCCATCCCAGGGCACACCGTGTGCCTTGTGCAAGTGGAGCTTACGAGTGAGCAATGGCTGGGGACCTGGAAAACTGCATTTTCCTGTTGGAATATGTGAGAAAACATTGAGCTTTTTCACATGTTGACATTTTCCTCTGTTAAAATGCACCTTCCCGCAACCAAGCCCCCCCATCACCAGATTAAAAGCCAAAGGGGCACTGGCATCACGTGGAACAAGTGCACGTCGACGGGGGAGCAGACAGCGCAACCAGTCGGGCCATCCGCAGTTCAGACGTGCCTTTGCCTCCCGAAGTTTTGCCACAGTTGAAGCATTGAGAAAGCACACCGAGGGGCACCGCAAGCTTCCAGGAGGACGCACAAGTTGAACAATGAAACACTACTAGTATCAAGCCGCGCCAAGCCGTGCCGAAGCAAGTGCCCGCACAAGTGCTACCTTGAGGATGCATGTATGCCAAATAATAAGTGGAAGCGAAATTCCTTGTGAGGGCCACACAAACATCATGAGTGCTTCATTTCTTGACTTTACAGGCGTGCACCGCCCTTTGTGGCGGCACGTGATGACACACAGTCAGCGATTGCCAGCCGTAGGTTGCAAGAGCAAAATATCCAGATGCGGCAGCCCTTTGGTTTACCGATGGGTGCGAAGATGCTTGCGAAAAGATTGTGGCTGTGGCACGTTCATCCCAGTTTCGCTGCTTGTATGCATCGGAGGGTGGGTGCAGCTTTCAGGAAGGACGATGCCGATTGCAGCGCTGAGTCGCGTCGCTGTGGTTGGAGGACTCTGGCTTGAGGCCCTGCAACATAGAGCACGTCCGGCCATGCATGAGCGCAAGGGCCGACCTCGCACACGTCGAAGATCGCCTGGCGAATTTTGGCATCGCCATCGGCACTTGCGCTTTTGGGGCAAGGGGATGCAGCGGACGCCGATATCGATGGGGCCGGTTCTTCAACGACGAATTCGGCGAAGAAACAAATGGCGATGGGCAAGGCTCCTACAAGAACCCGTCATTGTCCTCCGCCAGCGTTGCCACTGTGCTCGCCGATTACTCCGTGCATATAAGTCATGTGGGCCGCTCTTTCGCAGAGCGCCGGTTTTTCATCGCTTACGGGCCGGGGGCTCTGTTGGAGGAGGACGTCATCGAGAGGTGCCTGTGTTGGCAGGTTCGTCAGAGGAGAAGATCCCAGCTGCACCACCCATAGCACAGCAGAATCATCAGAACGAGGCACTTGAGTGCTCGGCACTGCTTGCGACAAGCAGCCCACCTGGCGCGCTCGGAACAGCACTCCGCCAGGCGTGAACACGCCGACGAAGCAGAAGGGTGGGGTCGGTGCACCGGGGCAGGCTGAAATACTGCTGCGTTGGGAACGAGGAACTCAGCGCCCCCAACTAACCATTCCAACCCAGGTTCCAACCCAGGCTCACAAGCTTATACTGCAGCAGACACTTGTCAATGGATCGCGCACGGGTCCACCCTGGGCCATGGGCCACAGGGGGAAGGCGTCACAAACCGTCAGAGTGCACACTCGGGCACGCAATAGCCAAGTGCCCAGCAGCTGAATACCCATCAGCTGCAGAGATCAACTGTAGCACAGAAAACAAATAGGGAGGGCGGGCGGGTAATTGTAGACAAGACCTGCAATACCCCACATGGGCCCACACCCTCAACGAAGCACAAATCGCTGTGAGGTAACACTACAAGACGCGGGTGGTTTGGGAAGTGTTCGGGGCATGCACAAGGGCGCGAAGGCGTAGCAACACTTCCAACCCATGCATCCCCCAATCCCCCGGGATGCCGAACTGATAGACAGAAGCGTCGAGCTCAGCAGAACAAGCACAATACAAGCAAGTTCCAGTCCACCTCGAACTGCAAGTGATCTGCACATGATATTCGGAAACCCTAAAGAATAACATATAGGTTATTGGTTGGCAACACTACAACTTAGCCTCACAAAAAAAGATAATTCTGTTGGCTAAAACAGGAGATATATATGTTGACAAACCTTCAACTTTAAAACCTACAGAGAAGAAGATCTTCGTTGGCAAAGCCTACCCCCTTAAGAGCAGATATTGGCTGGTCAACCCGAAACCTGAAATAACATTATGGTACAAAAGTCAAATTCAAACCGATGTTGGTCAACAACACACGTCTGGAAACTTCGGCAACGCCAGACCTGAAAAGTAGATGCTGATTGGCAAACCCACCACCCTCACAACCCTCAAAGAAGAAGATAGAAGTTGGCAAACCGTACACTGGCCTTCAACCTTGAAAGTAGATGTGGGTTGCCACACAGTTGAATCGAAAATGATGGCTCGCCAGACTCGAACGGATGTTAACTGGCAATCAGACCCAAAAAAGAATAAGACAATGCCTTCCACTATGCAAGATTATGTTGGGTGGAAATCCTGAATGTTGGGTCCCCCCCACAGGAGCATGGTTCGGTACTCCGCGTTTTCGGGTTCCTGAATCGGCCGCCTGCTGTTTTGAAGGGGCCTGCCTGGTTTTCCGAATTTGCTTTCCTGAATTTGGGTCTTGTGCAGGCATCCTTCTGTTGTGTCCGGACATGCTGCGCTACGGTCTGCTCAGTCTCAGCTCAAGAATAGCATTCGCATGCTGGCGTCGCGGACCGTCTGCTTGGCTTCGGTTGAAGGCACCACTCTTTGAAAGGAACAAGGGAAGGAAGGATTCAGCACTTTGCTGACAATCACGAGCACAAACATGATATTGAAAAGGATCCTTCGAGGCTAGACGCGTCAGAACAAAGGTAGTGCCCCAGCCAGGCATGCAACTGGAGCGTCCTTAGGGCCCAGCCAGTCGAGCGTTGCAGGTAAATCCCAATGGTACAAAGTCACCCAAGGATCGATACCTGCTCATCAGTGCGCGAAAACGCTGGCGGATGTGATCCGCAAGCACGATGCCTGCTGAAAGCAGGCTGTCGATGAGGTCTGAGTAGAACTTGATCCCCTCCTGGCACTTGAGCCAAAGATGCTATGGCAGAAAGCTTCGGAAATTCACAGGAGCCTCATTGATGTGGCCAGTTCCATCTGGAAGAATTCGACTCCACGAGATTGAAAATCGGTAAGCCTTGACGTTCAGGCTCGACATGAGGGCCACATCCTCCTCACAACATCACAGATTAGACCCTCTCGGAATGTAGCTCCTACCAGTGGCTGGGTCCTTGAACAGGTGATAGTGGTCACAAGCAACATCCCCCGTGGCCCCATCGTTTGTCGTACCAGGCTTGTGCGAAAACTCATCCCAAATGGAAGGCTTGCGGCCGTGCATGTTGGCTGCCCCCTGCAGCAGGAAGCAGAATCTTTACAACTTGCTGCGCCATCATCAGGACGGCCTCGATCTGGTACGCAGATGTGGCGACGCCAAACACGAAGGGTTTCGGAAAAGCCAGGAAGCCGCTCTTGATAGCAGGCCTCGAGCTGCCGCGAGAAGGCATCACTTCAAGCAGCTTCATTTTGATTCAGGTTGCTCTGCCGGCTCTGCTGCGCAAGACAATCGCCAGCGCTTTCGGCTAGCTGAGGCCTTGAAGGATCTCACGTTTTTGGCTGCTTGGAACGCATTGGAGTAGATTCATCAAATCTACAGAGTGGCTGGCCACAGTCACTGCGCCCACCGCCACGGCCGTCAAGGCAACGTGTTGCTGCCCATGCACCTCCCGAGTATATATGGGATGAGGTCGCGACAAGGGTCCCCGCCACGCGGCAAAAAAATGAGGGAACGGCGAAGCGACTGCGCCGATGCACCAGAAGCATCCAAGGCTTGCTCGCATCGGGCTCGATGCGAAGCCGCCACACGGGCTCTGCAACCCTGGTGGATGGTGCTGAGCTCAACGCCATGATGCATGGCACTGAGGGAACGTAGACTGCTGTTCACTTCAGCTGGTGCAGCAGGTGCGGCGCATGTTTGGATATGTTCACTGCACCCTGTCTGGTGGTGTAATCTTGCACTCTTCTGCAGTGTATTACTGCAGTATGTGGCTGCTTCTGCTCCTACTCAGCTAACAGCCTGGGGCCTGTGACAAGGCTAGACGGTAACATGCGGCGATGTCACACCTGAGCTGCCAAATGCTGCCAAGCTAGCAGGCCTCCTCTTGAGGAATGTCGACAGATGGTGTTGGAAGACGTCTGCCAACAAATGCTGTGACCTGCACCATGGCATACAGTAAGGGTCCAGTTGCAAATTCTGGCAGTCATGACAGGCAGTGCCTGAATGCTCTCAACTTCCAGAGCCGCAGCACCTGGACGGCTTTGCTCGCCATTCGAGCCGCCTCTTCACGGGACCTTCCACACGACAAGCGGTTCGCACGGTTTGACGAGCCCCGCATACAAAGCTCACACTGAAACGAACGGAAGCTCAGCCTCCGGCAGCCTTTCTGAGATGTTGGCCTTCGGCCAACCCCTGACCCCGGCGATGTCCTGCAATCCATAGCAGTGGCAGGGACGGCTCGGGCACGACTGGCTCGATCCTGCTCCTTCCGCCGCTGCTCAATCGCCTCAACGTGGAAATTGCTAGAAGTGTCGAACGCGGCACAAAGAGGCACAAAGCGAACGGTTTCCAACACCCGGTCCTGATGCAGCAGGGTGTTGAAGTGCTTGACATGCGAACACTCCTGCGAGCCAAGCTTGCAGAATCGAAGCACCTGACGCTGACCAAAGACCTTTCGCTCAAAACTGGAGAATGTCAAGATCTGCAGCAGGAAGTCCTGCCGCCGCTTCTTCAACCTTGTCTGCCATCACTCGCAACCCGGGAAGTCGTCTGCGCACAGCTTTGATGGCGGAAGTAGCTGGGCGCAGTGAAAGTCCGAGCTGCTCTTGAAGTAGCTGCAATGCTTCTCCAGAGACCTAAGCTGTGAACGAGTTCCGACGTGCAAGAATGAGTCCGATTACCAGCTCTATTGGCCATCCGACGCCAAGCTCTGCAGGGGAGCTTTCCATCTGACCCTGCAGATACAGCTTTTACCGTCGACGAAAAGCCCCTTTGGGCAGCATCTTGGCCTTTGTGGGCTGCCGCAGCTTTCGATCAGCATCTCCGTCAAGCACAGAAACTCGGCATCATGCTCACTGCCTAGTCATAGAGTTAGAGTTACTCTAAGTACTGATTTTGCATGAGTACCTCCAGAAAGACATCCACCCAGTGTACCTGGCAGCTTGGACCAACACGGCTGCATCAGACTCATGCAGCCCCAGGTTCGCAAACCTGCACATGGCAGTTGCTGCGCAGGCCTTCTCTTTTCAGTCGAGAGACTGCAGCTGGAACAATGCCTCGAAGCTGTTCGAGGGCCAGGGTGCGCTGACTTCAAACTCCAGCCAAGGTAAAGCGGCCCGACTCTCTTCATCCAGGATTTCACCGAAGACTTGTAGCCCGTGCTCCAGAGTGTCCATCTCGATTTGAATACTGTAAGAGTCTTTTGCAAAAGGCCTGCGGCCTTCGGCAATGATATGCTCACGAAGAGAGTCAGCATCCCAAACATTATCCGCGTCCTGCCGGAGTGACTTTGAAGCTTCTTTCCATCTGCCCCTTGCTAAATGTCGTGCGAATCGTTGAGCTTCCACTCGAGCTCTTGCCTGCAAAAACCGAAATTCACTCTCCGTTTCTGGAGCATTGCCAGCAAACGCTCTGCTTGCAGATGCGGCTGTCAAGCTTTGCTCTGCGGAAGCAAGTGCTTCCACCCCTGCCTCATCCTCGAAATTAACTGATTCCAGCTCCTTCAAGGCCTCCCATTCACGCAACAAACTCGAGTCCGTTCCGTTTATTGCTGCCAGCAGGAATGCTTCGATCTCAAGCACCTCATCTGTTTTGAAATCATCAGGTACGTTGTGCTTCATGGTCTTGTGCACTTGCGATAAAAAGCGCAACAGCAAGCCTTCTTGCTGGAGCACGCGCTTGGACTTGTCCAGTGGGCTTAGCTTCTTGATGAAATCAGAAAAAGACATCTGGGCGTCGAACATTTCCAGTGCAATTGCTTTTGGCTTCAAAGCATGACGCGACACCCATGGGTGTCGCTTCAAGAAGTTCTCGAAGGCAGGCCACAGCACGTCTTCACACGGCAACCGCGGTTGCTTCCGCTGTTTGGCACGTGCCTGCACAGCTCTCCGCTCTTTTTCTATTCTTGCAAGTACATGCTTTCTCATGGACGAGGGCAAAGTTGTTATTGTTGGGGGCAAGGCGACTTCCCGAACTTCCCAGTCTCTATGCCCGGCGCCCTTTTGCGACAGTATCTGATCCTGGTATCCTGGTCTGCGACGGTCTCCTGTACCCGAGCATGCCAAGCTTCCAAGTTTGAGTTTTGACACCTGCTGCACGAATTTGGATTATCTACACTTGCACTTAAATTCACCAGTTCAACACCTGATCCAAAACACCTTCATCAACCTTCCAACTCAGGCCTGTCTCTGAAAGGGGAAAGCCACGAGCTTGTGCTGTAGCTTTGACATCAACTTCGACTACCTGCCTGCGCACGCACAACTGCTATCGGTTCCTCGCAGATGGCTTCGACCACTGAAAGGACTGCTTTGGCAAGCTTCCAGTTGTCTCCAGCAAAGCCCCACTGCAGCAGAGGTAAAACGTCCACCAAGAAGAGGGAGACGTCTTCCATCAAGAGAAAATCGCGTTGTAAGGCACTGTCAGCTCGCAGTGCATCTCCCTGCCTGACGATGAGCCCCGCACCGGACAGTGCCTGGACGTACTGGTCCACTTGCTGAGCCAAGTGCTCCTTGTTTTTCTTGCCACATAAGGACAAAGAAATAAGCTCATGAACTTCAGCAAGTCCGTCCCGACCGTGCTCCTGTGCACCTTGCAAAAGGCTTAGCACATGGCCTTGGCTAAGCTGAAAGCGTGACCGGAGCGGTGCCGGGGATGATGTTCGCAGCTTTGTAAACGTATCCTCGTCCCAATCGACGAAGTTGTTCTTCGCAGACCGGCGCCGCCTCTTTAGCCGCTCGCGCTCCTTCTTGTTTTCTGCAACCTTGATCTGTTCTTGCAGCTTTTTATTGTACACTTCGTGGGCCGGATGCACCGCCACTACACTGCCTTTGGTGTCGTACCCTCTCCTCCCGGCCCTTCCTGCAATCTGATGAAACTGACGAGGGGTCACTAGAACAGTTACTTCACCGTCGTATTTGCAAAGCTGCGTGAACAGTACGCTTCGGATGGGCACATTGACTCCGACTCCGAGGGTGTCGGTACCGCATATACACGTAAGCAACCCCGCTTGGGCCATCTTCTCCACGAGGCGCCGGTACTTTGGAAGCAACCCGGCGTGGTGCAACCCGATACCATTTATGAGAAGCTGCCTCAATCTGTCCCCATAAGGAGTGTCAAACTCCATGTCCTTGAACTGCTCTGCCAATTTCTCCTTTCTTTGCTCACTCGGAGCGAGTTCTTTGCAGACAAGTGATTGTGCCAAGGTAGCCGCATCTTGCTGGGTAAAGCAAACCGCATAGACGGGTGTGCGTCCTGAGGCGACCAAGTCGTCAATGGCATCTTTTGCTGTCTCGAAAAGGTAGGACCAGTCAAGTGGAACCGGACGGTCTGTTGATGTTATCGTCTGAACATTGCGGCCTGTGTATGCCGTAAGGTTCGCATACAAGGCCTGATTGTCTCCCATCGTTGCAGACATGAGCAGAAACGTTACTTGTGGCAGCCTGAAGAGGGGAACTTCCCATGCATAGCCACGGCCCTTGTCGTCAAAGAAGTGGAACTCGTCCATGACCGCGTAGCTAAGCTCTGCGGCCCGACCATCTCGCAGAGCCACGTTGGCTAGAACTTCAGCCGTACAGCAAATCACAGGAGCAGTGGAGTTGATTGAAACCTCACCTGTTGCCATCCCGATCAACTCCGGCCCGAAGTCATGGCACAAGGAAAAGAACTTTTCGCTAACCAATGCTTTCACCGGGCACGTGTAATAGGCTCTTTTGCCTTCGGCGATTGAGCGGAACAGCATGGCCGACGCTACGAGGGACTTGCCACTGCCAGTTGGTGTGCTGAGTACAACGTGGGAGTTTCCGAAGACAGCATAGATGGCTTCCTCTTGCTTTGCATACAGCTGCAGCCCTTTGTCTGCAATAAAATCCAAGAAATCTTGCTGCATGCGAGCACGATCATGTGGGCACTGTCGAGCACGCAGAAGGTATTGCTTCGCCACAGGCTCCGAAGCCGGATGCTCTACTGCAGGTGGCTCATCCGTCACAGAAATCTTCCTGATGCATAGTCCACAACCCTTGCGTTTGCTGATTCTGCCTGCACAAGACGTGCCCAAAGCCAGCACCGTCGCATATCTCTGTCTGCAACGGGGTAGAGCCCTGACTGTCTCAGCACGCCGTGTCCCACACGAGGTCTCAGCGAAAATCGGCACGCTGACATCAATGGGCGCTGCTAGCAGCAACATATGGAATTTGTGTGCACACCTGCTGCTGTGCTGATTCTGATGCGTGCAACGAAGTCGCTTCGACAAGCTAGCCGGGATGCCGGGAAACAATAACGCCTAGCTGACATGTCTCGGCAAACGTGGCACAGCTTTTTCCGTTTCGAAAGCTGATTCGTCCTTTGGAGAATCGATTGCGTCAACACCTCCACCTGTAAGTAACTTCTGAGCTTCGTCTGCCCTCCACCTGAAGCTCAAGATGCAAAAAGACGAGACAGTGTCGGATCGCAAGAAATGCTGCTTGACCTGAAGCCTTGAGCCAAGCCCTGGGCTGGCACTCCTTGTCGACCACGCTTACCATCTCCTTGCAAGAGAGAGGAGATCGAGGTGTATGTGTGTGTGTGTGTGTCTGTGTGTCTGTGTGTGTGTGTGTGCGCGTACATGTGTCTACGCTCAAGAAGTCATCCGACGTAAAGACCCCTCAGAGCTCGATGCGCGCTCTTGAAGAGGCTGGAACTTGTCGTGTCCGGCCTTGCAAACGCTTTTCTCGCCGTTTCATCTGCCGAGGAAATGAAACAACCGAGGCTTGCTCCCACAGAATCTCGCCATCATGTCGGACCTCACATCGCAGCTTGTCGCATATCTTTGGCGGAGGCATCCTCCGGTCCCGGTCACACACATGAAACATCTCTGCGAGAATACATACCTGAAAACAACTCCCTGCGACTTAGGCTGCAGCCACCATCGTGTAGGCTCGCCCGTCGTCGTGTATGTGCCTATAGCTACAAGCAAGCGACATGCATTGAGAGGCAGCTTGCAGGTGCAGCACCGGTCATCTCAGGCCCTGCGCATTCGCTGAAAGAAATCTCTGGACCACGAAGCTGTTGAGATGATGTGGACCTCTGCTGCCATGCGCCAGTGGTCACCCGACCCCACAATTTGGAAAAGCCAGCTGTCAGCCTGTGTATGTTCCTCCTCTAGCAGCAGGCTGGCCCAATGTCCTCATGCATTCCATACAAGCAAAAATTTTTGGAAGAATTGCACTGCCACATAGGGTTGACTCCAAGGCATGATCGAATTCGATACCGCCACATCCATCGCAAGGGCCAGAACCTGAGCAAAGTGCAGACCGTGCAGATCGGGCAGACCGCGCAGTCGCCTGTGCCAAGCGGCCATGGCAGCAAGCAACAAATGTACATCTGCATCTCGCCCTGGCGGCACGCTTAAGAAGAATGCAAGCGGATGGAGGTAGGGCCATCAGCACCAGTCATGATCATAAACTTAGCACATATATCTCCCGCCCTGGATCTGCAAAACACCCTCAACCAGTTCACCACTTCACCGTTCCTTGCCTCCATGTGGCTAGGACCCCTCACGAATTCACCATTTCACCATTCACCAATTAGTTTGGCCCTATGTCTAAACCCATAAGCCATTTCACCGGTTGGCCCTGACCTATAAACCATTTCACCATTTCATCAGTGAGTTTGGCCCCAACCCACAAACCGGTTAACCAATTCACCTATTAGCTCCGCCCTATGAAAGTCAGGAGGTCTGACCATTTGGGGGGACATGAATGGTGAAATGGTGAAATGGTTTATGAGTTAGGGCCAAGCTAATTGGTGAAATGGTGAAATGGTTTATGGGCTTAGACAAAGGGCCAAACTAATTGGTGAAATGGTTTAAGGTCTTAGACATACGGCCCAACTAATTGATGAAATGGTGGGCTTGTGAATGGTGAATTGGTGACATGGTCTCGGGTGTGTAATCACCCCATTTGGTAAGTCCGCTTCACCTCACAAGACCAAGGTACTTGGTAACATGGTGCCTGAGGGAAATGAAGGGGGGCTTGGTCAAAGCGACTGGTGAAATGGTGAAAATTGTATGTTTGTTCCATGGTTGCCGGACCCTACCCCCGTCATATTGGTAAACTGCATGTTTGAAGGTTCGAGAAACCTGGGTCTATGAACCAGTGTTGTGGTTCATGAAATTTGGCAGGGTCCCACTGCACAATAAACCCTACGGAACAAATCTATCTCATCAGCACTTCATCACCTAAATCCACAATTTCGACTGTTTATGTGTTTCAGGAAGACTGAAACTGCAATGAAGCTAAGCATGGACTACGAGAACTGATGGTCCTAGGTATCCGGCAGTCTTTCGTGTTGTTGAGTGTTCATGCAATGTTAGTGTCAGAGTTCTAACATTGCCGGGACCATATGCGTATTCCCGCTACTCTGGCGGAAAGGCCATGCTGCACGATCTTTCCAATGATCTGATCGTTCCTGTACATGACGTTTACAAGAGAGAAGGCAATCGATGTGCATATTGAGCGAATAGACACTTAATTATATGTCACTCATCCAGGAATCATAGGGTGGAACATGACGTGGCTTCTATCGAGGTTGCAATAGCTCGGTAGCTGTTCTCAAATTGGAATAGCAAGCTGCACAGACAATGGAGATACGACTGACAAGACCGCGTTGCAAGGAGAGACAGTACTTTTTGTTTACAACTTGGTCAGGTTTCATCACTTGGTACATAGACGTGTTGGTCGCAACGTTATGTCCAAACATCATTCCAAGGAAGAGGATTTCGATGAGTCGGGATTGATAAGAATATGTGTGGTAAGCAAGCAAAATTTGCGCCTTACAAACTGCTAGGCGTCCTGGCTTGGTACGTAGAGAACTCCTAGCAACGCTAATTCCAATACATGGGAATGAACTCTCTTTCGGGAGGAGTGATGCGGTGTGTTTTATCACTTTATTTCCAACACGAGGAATCACGTTCTGGACTGGGACAATGGCTCAATAAGGCTCCAATAGGTGGCAGGGCACGGGACTAGCAAAGTCGACAGAACATGCACTACACTGGTAAGGACTAGCTGACTAGCAGTATCTACTTTGCATCCTGCCGGCTGCTTATGCTCTCACAATACGGACAAGCTACAGTACATGCGGCTTTCTGGTTCGCAGTCGGCTCTACGTGATGGTTTCGCTATGCTGATACGAGAAGCAAAGGTTTTCGTCACTCGGTATATAGCAGCAATGTCAAGCCAAGCGACACCGTACGTATGTTGCCCCACAGGAGAAACACTATACAACGTTTGCTAAGCGTGTACTATGCGAGTTTTAGAACTTAGTATGGAGTTGTCATGATGCAGAATGGAGGAATGCAACACCCAAATGCCTGCATATACCGGATATACCAGCGTTTAAAAGCTATCGCATGCAGGCACAGGGGTATGTTGTTGAGAGCTGTATGTAGCCAAAACTCCATGGCAACGAATAGAAAAACAGACATTCTAACGGGATTGCGGCATTACAGTACAAATATTGAACACTCTTTGTTCTAAAATCTAGTTCGCCGAAGGGCATGACTGAACCAAACTAAGGACTAAGGGAGCATTTGTACTAAATTGAATCTACAAGGTTTAGAGTTTGCAGAGCAGTCACACAGGCATGGAATACGAAAATGTATCGACGGCTGCAAGGAAAAGATTTAAGCACATTGCAACAGGGCTTCGACGAGGTTGATGTAGAATTCATGACGGTGTACGGGCTTTAGCTGGTCAGCATTCTGAAAGCATGGGTTTTTTGAATGCTAGATACAATTAATCAGGATTTGCAACTTCCTGGGTTCGTCTCCAAACTAGGTTTGCAGAGATGTTGAGGAGCGCAACGACATCGTGGCCTCTGTAGCGGGATGATACGTACTGGAAGGAGCAGTGTGAGAAACATCCATAATCATCCATAGAGACTTAGATACTGCGTGTCTTGTGTTGGCTTCGACTTGGACACAAAGACACGTGAATTCACTCTTGTTTATATGCTTGGTCCAGACTCAGTCAGAACCAGGGTTTGTAAACTTTGCCTGGGTTTATGATCTTTCGGTGTCAAAACCAGTTGCTGGTTCCAAAAATAGTACCGCAGTGCAGAAATGCAGAGGAGGCATGCTACGCAACACGGTGATTTACGTCACCCAGCGAAGGCTGGCCGTAACCGTAACCATAAGATGCTTCTCAATGACTCAGGCATGAGAGTCCACGCGCTGGTTGCCAAAGTTGTCATGCACACCCCTTCTACTAATCAAACTCTCGCTCGAAGATCTTGCACATTGTTGCCATTAGCTGGAGTAAAAGTCTTTAGTGCACCGCTGCACGGACGTTTGTACGTCCTTGAATTTGTGGGCTGAACTGCATTTTCATCGTCCAGTCTCAGCAAAGGCCGTTCTCCGGCCTTTAACGCGAGGCTGCGTTCCATGAGGAGGCGCTCCCAAGCCGTCCGCACCCCTGCCCAGGTTGCCGACCAGGCGTGCTCAACGTCTTAGTCACAGACGCCTAGCCAAGAGTCTGCATGCTCGATGTGCTTCCGTCGGGTCATGAGCATGACTACATGCACACCTCAGCGGGGTCCAAAGCTGTCTGCTCGCTGCTCCAGGAACCGCGATCACAGCGGAGCCTGTTGGAAGGTCATCTGGAAGTTTTAGGTCCTGTAGCTATGTATGATTTCTTGCAGAAATTGCATGCACGGGCTGGTCCTGGATCCGGCGGCCGCCAGGGCCATGGAGCCAGCATCGCAACTTGGCCTTGAACGCTTCGACAAACCCGAAATGTGACCGCGGGTTTTGCAGGCATCTAACCATGCTCGCCCTGAGAAGTATTCAGCTACAGCAGCACTGAACCCAAACGGGTCCAGACTCTCCCACCCTCCGAGCTCGCAGTTCTCCGAACACCCAAACCGTCTAACATGCAGCTCCGGGAGTGATACAAGCCGCCAGTGAGGTGCACAAGCCCCACGTTGTCCGACAACAGGAACCGTCTGATGGGTCTAGACCGTTGTGAGATGGGCTAGTTTTTATCTTTGCCCTGAACTGGATGCTGGGATGGTAATCGAGCTCTCTCCCAACGCCCAACCCATAGCTGGCAGTGGTCCTTTCAAGAGGCGGAAGACTTCTTGTTTGCCGCACTTTCGCAGGTTCGTGCCAGCTCCGTGCCTGTTGTTTTTGTTTGCGTTGTGCCTCTATTCTGCTTCTTGTCTGGCGAGCCTTCGAGGCGCTCTGCCAGGCTGCGGGGGCGGAAGTCGTCTAGGACTGCTACGCTCGGAACGGGTTGTCCTGCCCAAACACTCCAAGAAACAACCACCTGCCACAGCTCAGCCATGCACCTCCGTTTTAGGGTTCGGGACTCTCTCACCAACATCGACTACATCTCCTCTTACGGTTTGGGGTTGCCAGGTATAGAAGCCCGGGGCCCTAGGCTAGGGTACTGTAGGCCTTCTGTATGGGTTGCCAACATCTCCTTTTAACGTCGAGAGTTTGCTCACCAACATAGGGTTTGGGGTTTCAGCAAACAGTTTGTGCTTTGAGGTCGGTCTTGGTGTGAAATGAAAAATGCCACACTTGCCACAGGGTTACTCTCTCTAGTGGTGAAGCCGGTACTTTTGAGCATCGCCTAAAATCCTCTCAAAACAAAAATACTGCAAAAACCCTGAGAAAATTTGATTACATTCCAATATACATATATATATATGTATATATATATATGGCGTTCCACCAAACTGGGCTTCCGCTGCGCGGTCGCGATCAACGCCGCTACTAAGTTTCTGCCAATGGCATGTGCACGATACGCGCGCCACCGCACTTTTGCAAAGTACGCAACCACGACTGGTTTCCCTGCTCGTAGCTCAAGTAGCTCTAATCGCAACCACTTCTCGCAGTAGAAACCCTAATCTACCAGGACCCAAAACTCTACATGTAGGTGTTTCGCTTGCCACGAGTTGGCATTGAGCCTGAACTGAGCTCGACATCCCGGATGCATTGGGATGTCCCGACCCACTTCGGGCAAATGCTCCTTATACCGTACGCCCTCTTCGGCAAAGCGAAGCTTTGATATCGAACGGTAGCATTGTCAAGTGCTTGGCTTTCTCGAGCAAAAATAGCCGTAACCGTCCCTCTTCCCGTAGCCATGCGGCGAACCGCCGCAAAGCTAGTGGAACAGCGCGACCATAATATGCGGTGCTCATGAGATTATATGTGGTAAGAGAATGCACTGCAAGTTCGAGGATGGCATTACCACAGCAAAGCTGGTGGAAAGCTATTTCTCGTGTCATCGGCTCAAGACTGACTGGCTGATCTAGACCCTTTACCACCTTGAAAGAAGAAGCGCTGCGTGTCACAGAGATGTAAGGCAAGGCTGCCAGAGTAGTGCCTCGAGGTCATCATGATTCGAGATTTTCATATCCCGGGAGGCGGTAGGCTAAGGGGTATTAGCTAGCCCGACCTCAGTCAGACATGCTGGACCAAGAATTAAAACATCTTGAAAACTCACGGGCGCGGCCGCTCCTTTGGACTTGGCCACTGCTGCCTTCACCGGGATTCAAGCTGGACAACACCAGTGCATGATGAAGGCAGGAGCTGAAATGAAAAGGGTCTGCAAGTCTCGTTCAAACTTGTGGAGTGCACCCAGCACCACAGGGAACTCAGAGTCTTTGTGCGTATTTTGCGCCACATGGTCGCCATCCGCTCGGCCTGCAGCTGCTCACAAAGGTGCTCACCGAGAGAGTGGATATTTCGCGACCTGGCTCACTGGCAAGCAACGAAGCGGCAAGTAATCAAGAGATTGGGGTTTTGCAGTCTGGTTTTCCGTCGAGCCGGATCACAGAACGCTTCTCGGTAGGGGCTCAAGCGAAACCACGCTTCCCTGCCCACCACTGCCCACCACCAGCCACCACTATCCACCAAGACCTGGGTAAATCACAGAATTTGCGCCTTCCCCCCCCCCCCCCGTTGTTGACGAATACGGTCTCTCTTCGACATCATTGCTTAATTGTAAAAATGCTCCACGTCGTCCACCTCGGCTTGGCCAAGAGAAGTCTTGGCCGCTCGGCTCAGCAGCAGGGGTGGCGCTGGGTTGTGCTTGGGGTGGCGGGGTCTTGAACCAGAAGCAATCAGAAGGCCCAAGGTGGAAGCAGCAATTCGAAGCCTCAAGAATCAGCAACCCGAAAGGAAGCTTCACTTGCAAAATCTCTGAGCCCTGAGCCCCGGCCCTCCGAAGATGCACGGAATGATGCAAAATGCCGCACACGACATTTAGCAGGAGCAGAACGTTGTACTTCCAAGCCTACACAGCCTGCACCCCAGCAGCAAAGGAACATAAGAAGATGTTAGTGCCCCCGGCAGCTTCGCACTCGGCAAGGTATGGCAGGCCCCCAGAGAGTCAAGAAAAACGCTGGGATCCTTGGCAGCCGATGAAGCCCGGCTGGCCTGTCCGTGTCGGACACACAAACTGCCAAATGAAGCCAAGAAGGCAAGGAAGAAGAGATGGCGCGCTTCGCAAGACGCAGGCGCGGTTGAGCCTGCCTTGTTTCGCCCACCTTCAACTTGAAGTCTGCCATGCAAGTTCCCACAGGAGTCCTATCTGGGCCTAAATTGCTGCAAAGAAGTCATAGAAGTCATAAGTCATGAAGACATCCAGGAGTCGAATAACCATGCGCATCCGCACTGGCCTTCCCATATTGCTACCATTGAGCAAGTTGGTCGAGTGTGCCTGCAACCTTGCACTCCATGCCAAGGTTGCTGAGGCCCGCTCTGTGTCATCCTTTGGAGAGACACAAGTCTACGTCTACAAATTTGCTGGAACCCCGAAAATCGGCAGCGAACTTCGTGCCACATGCAAGCTACCGGTGAGCTCAGAATGAGAAGATGTTGGAATCCTCGTAGCCCATGCTTTGCAAGGCTGGAAGGCAAGCTTTCTCTAACATCACCGGAGGCCCGCACATCAAGCATATCGTGTCCTCACTGGCTGGAAACAAACAGGCCTTGGTCATGGCTGGAGTTACAAAGCCCACGTGACCTTTCCATGCCGAGGCAGAGTTCTTCTCGCCGGAAGGGCTCACATTCTCGTCTTCGGAAGGGACTTTGTCGACGGTGAAGTTCAACATGAAGCGGTCAGGGTGCTTGGCTGCCAACTCCTCCAGCACATCTCGTGCAAGGATATCATCGGGTGTCCGGTTGGCGAAGAGGAGTCGTACCGTGGTCTTGTCCAGCGGGTCCCGAAGGATTGCTGCCAGTACCTGGTAGCATGGCGTGATGCCAGTGCCGCCAGCGATCATGGAGATCTCTCTGACAGAGCGCGGCTTGCCATTCACAAGGCATTGGCCCTGGCCTTTGTAGACAAACTCACCGATGGGTCCCTTGACATCGATAGAGTCACCGATCTTCATGCTCTCCAAGTGCTGAGACATCTTGCCACCGTCCGGAAAGCTCGGGTGCACGCCCTTGAAGTAGACTTTCACCAGCAAGTCCACATGACCCAGGGTGCTGTCATCTGTCATGGGCGTGTACGCCCGCATCACCGGCTTGCCATCCACCTTGGCTTTCAGTGTCATGTGCATGCCGGTGGGAAGTCCCAGCGTCATTGACGGAGAAGGCAGCTTGAAGCGGAAGATCCGGGTGTCGTGGCTCACAACGATCTTCTCTGAAAGCTCAAGCTGTTG